GGGGGGGGGGGGGGGGGGGGGGGGGGGCTGTTGGGTCAGTGGGGGAGCTGACTCCCTGTGGGAGCATTTGCTCTCACAGTTATTTCTCCCCATCCCTCACCATGCACCTCCACCCTCTTCATTTCAATTCCATACATTTAGGGTTGTTTGGGCTTGGGTGTGCTGCAACAATTTTACATCTTTGTTGACCATAGCCACCTGGGACTCAATTTTATTGTACCCCTTAGACATTCATTCATAACATCCTCATGACATTCACATATAGGAACTTGAGGTGGGCACATGGCTATGGGTGGTGGGATGACCTTACTCTCACCCCCTGTGCCTGTGCTCACTTACAACGGTTGCATTTAGACACTATTGTTTGGAGAAAGTTGGGGTGGAGGGGAAACTGGCATCATGCCAGCCTTTTCTCCTTCTTCTTTCCTTTTTAATGGCACTATACAACAACACACATCAACAGCACATCTAGGGGCGGGGGTGTATGTGTCGGGGTCTTATTGTTTTTTTTTTTAATTTATTTATTTTTTCCTCCCCCTCCTAGTTCCCTGACTGCCATTCCGGGGGTGGGGTCCGGGAGAAGGACAGGCAGTCGGGTGTTGACCAGGACTATGTGGGGGTTCGGGATCTGGGGGGTTGCCGTGGACGGTGCTGGCGCTGTGCTCTCCCTGGGGTTGTTTGGACCCCCTGAGCTTGGCTCTTGGGTGCCATGGTTGGCCCGCTGGGTGGGGTGGCTGCCGGGGCCTGGCGGGTGGTCGGCTGGGGGCACGTGCTTGGTTGTTGGCAGTGTGTGGGGGTGGTCGGTGGCGTGTCCTCTTCATGGTGGGGGGGTGTCCTGTCGGCTGGGCATGGCCTGGGCCGGGTCTGGGGTATTGGCTCTTCTCCGCTCGAGAATGAATGGGTTTACCTCCTGGGTTTGGGCATGGGCTGCCCCCTGTAGAGGGCGGGTACATGTCTTGGACCTGGGGGGTATAGAGTGCGTATCGGGAATAAGAATGAAATGTATCGTTATTGTATGTCTTTGAGTGAGTGAATGTGAGACTGAGGTTGGGATTGTGTGATTGTGTCTGTGTATGAATGGGTATTTGTTAGGCCGAGACTCGGACTGCCCCCTCTTTGATACAACTGGGGGTGCTTGGCATCGTGCCCCTATCGTGTGGCCCCCTGGTGGGGTGTGCCCTTGCCTGCCGGCGCGCTTGGGGCCCTTGGTGTCGGGGGCTTGGTGCTTGGGCGTGTGTCGGCTCGGCCTGGTGTCTGCCTGGTGGGGCTCGGGTCCTCTGGCCCTGTCGGGCCTTGGCCTGGGTGGTGTGAGTCCTCAGTGCCCGGGCCTCGGTGCCCGGACCTGGACCTACATCGGTGCGGCGGGTTCCGACGGAGGCCTATGAGTTTGTTGCTGTTGGCCCCGAGGGGTCACTGTATGTGGTCACTGGTGGGGATCTTCCGGTTCTCCCTTGTGGTCCGTTCTGGGGTGTGGGTGAGTGGTTCGTCCTGTGTGGGTGGTCCTGGGGGCTCCGCGGTCGGGGTCCCTCCTGGGGTCTTGGGCTCTGGTCCCCCCTTTTTCGTCTGCCTCTGGTCTTGGGGGTCGGGTCTCTGCTGCTTCACACTTACTATTAAATGTTCTATCAGAGAAGCCTTATACACTTATGCATGCTCACAACCACACACAAATAGAAGCAGGGATGCTTATGTAGGCTTTATATGTAGA